TTGGACTCTTTAAGACTAGAGTTTAGAAATCAACACTGTTGATTTCTCAGTTTTGGAATATGTACTATGGAAATGTAAGATGAAAACAATAGGGTAAACCAAAACTGGGTAAGGGGCACATGGGAACTCTCTAGACTATCTTTACCACTTTCCTATAAATCTAAAATTATTCCAAAATAAAAGCTGAGTTGTTTAATTTTATAGTAATTCTCTTTGGCCCTACACAGAGGTAAGACCTCAGGTGAGATAAAGTAGCCACAACCTACAACCTTTAGTCTTTATATCTCTTACATGAGTAGTCAAGAGATTGTCATCACAATTCTATTTGGGGAAGAAAAATAAAGACAGGAAACAACTCATTTTAATAGACAGATATTTGGCTAAATTTAACATAGCTTATTTAGCATGTATCTATCTGAAATATTAGTATACTTTGTCTTTTTATACATTCTCAGCATATTCAAGAGATTTTATTGTAATTCACAAACTGAGTACACAATCTTCTCATTGCCACTTTCATCTCTTTATTCCTAAAAGTATAGATGACTGGATTTAGAAAAGGAGTGATAACTACATCAAATATGGCAAGGAATTTATCCAGATGTGACATAGGAAAAGGCCACATATAGAAAAAAATTAAGGGCCCAAAGAACAAAACCACCACAGCGACATGAGCTGACAGAGTAGAGAGGGCCTTGAATATGCCACCTGAAGAATTCTTCTGAACAGTCACCAAAATGAAGATGTATGAGATGATCAGAATTAAAAAGGAGGCCACAGAAATAAGTCCACTATTGGCAGTAACCATGAATTCCAGTGTGTATGTCTCTATGCACGCTAGTTTTATAAATTGAGGAAGGTCACAAAAAAAACTGTCTAATTCATTAGGGCCACAGAAAGGCAAGTCTACAATAAAAGCCAACTGAGTTACTGAGTGTATGAGGCCAATTACCCAGGAAGTGACTAAAATTAAAATGCACATTCGTGGACTCATGACAGTCAGGTAGTGGAGAGGCTTACATATAGCAACATATCGGTCAAAGGCCATGGCCAGGAGCAGCACCATCTCAGTGCC